TAGATCATTCATTGCTATTGGCGTCCATCTAGCTTCTCTGACTCCCCTTGAGCCTTTAGAAGTTGACGCTTTGTCAGAATTAAGTATAGGGTATGTAGCAAAAACCCTGGGTAAGCCAGTTCTAATAGCTGGTGGCGGCATTGTATACTGTCCTTGTGCCTCCTTACTCTGTTCACCAGCTCCAATAATTTCTTCAATCTTTTCAAATCTTTTTATCATTGTCTCTCTTAAATCCTGAATCTCCTGACCTGTATATGTTTCTAGTAAAGATAGTATGGTTCTTTGGAGTACCATAATCTTCCTAAATGATAGAATATGCAAAAGAATACTAAACCCTAGTAGCCAGTAAATTAAGTTATCCTCATAGTCATATAAACCTTGCATGATACGACCCATGGTATTGGTAGCCCAAACAGTTAAATTCATGTTGGAAACGAAAACAGCCATATTACCTATTATCCAGCAGGTGGCGCTGTTGCCAAGTCTCGACGAAAACGGGTTCCTGTTTGAGGGTCTGCAGAAATCCGCCTGTCTCTGGGATTAAAGGCGTGCACCACCACCCGGTAGGCCTCAGAGATCGTCCTGCCTCTCTGGATATTATGGGCCTGAAGGCCGAGTGTATCTTGGACTCGACACTGGGGCCTAAGTCACGAACTAAACAAAAAATAGCGTACAGGGAACCATAAACCCAGAATCCAGGGGTAGAGAAGAGTAACCAGGAAGCTGTGTATGCCTCCACGTGACAGAGTCACCCTGAGGGGTTGCAGTTTCTGCAACCGGTAACTGTGTGCTCTGGTTCACACCACTTAAGAGCTGTACTCTAAGTTATGTTATCTTAGGGTCAGATCAATTCTAACACCCACAAGCATTATGTTTACCTCAGTCAAACTCCCTAGACCCTAAACTTTGGGCACTATCTCTGAGTCAACAGTATCCATTTTTGTGAAAGAAGTCAGATGTTCTTTGTGAGGAATCTCAATGCAAACATGTCTTAAATTGTTGTATACTTGGGGCTGATTTAGTTGCTGTCTGGATACTTTTTTAAAAATTGTGCTGTGCTTAAATATGGCTAAAGTGAAATGATTTTGGCCAGACTCTTGAAGTCCTTGTCCAGCATTGGTTATAAGAAAGTCTGGCTGAGCCAGGTTTCACTCCTGTCTGTTCGTGGGTCATTTTTCCCCCAGTGAGCTGAAAAGCCTGCAGGAGAATGGCCACACCATGAGGTCACCATTCCTGTTATTCCATTTAACATCCAGCTTTGCTTCAACCTTTTTTTCATCTCTTTTAGCGATGTACTTAGATCCATTATACTTCCCAATGATCTTTTTTCCTCCAACTCTACATTTTGTATTTTTCCTCGCTCAGCTTGCTCCTTTTCATTATAGATCTGCAAAAGACCTTGATAACCACACAAAGTAAGCTGTCTTGAACTCTCCTCTTCCAATGCCATTAATCCAAAATTCTTCAATTTTATCTTGGATAGATTTTTCAGACAAAGGCAGAGAGCAGCTACATTCTCCACCAACAACACTCTCTGTGCCACTTACTAGTATTCTTCTCCTCTGAAACCTCTTGAGCCAGGCCGTCACAATGGACATGGCTCTCAGCACCACTGTCTGCCAGGCTCCATTAAGCCCTGCTTAAAGTGTCCAATTGCTTTTCTAGTCTTAAGTCCCAAAGTCCATATTCTACCAACAAGCCACATGGCCAGGTCTGTCACAGCAATGTCCTACTCCTGGTACCAACTTCTGTCTTCGACAGTGTTCTACAGCTTTGTTACAATCTTTGGTCATTTGACCAGTGGAAAGCAGGTGCACTATAAGTCAGTGCCACTTTACTGAGACTCCGGCTTCGTTTTGCATTTGAGCCAAAGAGGGGAAAATAAGTCTCTTTGTTCTGTGCTTTTTGAATTCGCACACTAATTCACCACAAGTTTTGACTACTTGTTTATAAATTATTCATTGGCAAGCCTGTATGCCTGTATCTTTTCATACTTCTATAAAAACAATAAAGGAATTTAAAAGAAAGTTTATTCAAAACTTAATATGAATGTGATGCCTTTGGCCAGGGGCAGGAGTTTCCCTTGTCTTGTAGAGGTGGCACCAGAGGCTCTAAAATCACAGAGCATAAAACAGTCTACAAATGACCAGGACAGCCAGGACTGTCACACAGAAAAACCCTGCCTCAAAAATAAATAAATAAATAAATAAATAGATAAATAAATAATTTGCCCCAAAACCAAAAATAATAAAAATAAAAATAAACCAGTTATTGAAAAATACATTTTCCAGCTCAGCTACATTGTGAGGGCACCAGTTACCTGGGCTGGGAAGCCTCTTCTGCAATGTCCAGATGTTGTATCATTCTTAGCTTTAAGATTAGTGGAGCCTTGAGTCTTCAAGGCTTAATGAGCCCATCTAATAAGATTACCTGCCATAAGAATATATAATAAATAAATATAATAAAGAATATATAATAAATAAATATAATAAAGAATATATAAAAATAAATATAATAAAGAATATATAATAAATAAATATAATAAAGCCCTAAATAACCCTGGTTCTCAGCCTACGTCCCAGCTCTCCACAATCAGATTCTACTCACCCAAGTGTATGGGGTTTGCAAAATCCTTAATGTAAACAAAGCTTCATTCAAAAACTGTAGTTCACTGTTAAAATGTATGTATTCATATTTAAATATCTGTATTTTTCAGTTATACAAGTATATGCCAATTTCTTTTGTTTAAAAAAATTAAGGTTCTATGGTGATATGCAAGATATTCGTCAGTATTGCTATAGGATAGGGTCATTTCAGGTTCCCTGTCCTCAGCTGCCCAAGGAACTAACTGGGGACATCGCCTTGGGCACCTGGGAGCCACTCTAGGTTCAAGTCTCTTGCCAACCCTAAGGTGGCTCCCTTAACTAAGATTTGTGCTTCCCTGCTCCCTTATCCAACCTTCCTTTATCCCAATCATCCTGTTTCCCCAAGTTCCCCCCATCCTCCCCTTCTCACTTTTCTTTCCCCATCTCCCCTTACCTCCATCCCACCCCACCCCCAAGATCCCAATTTTTTGCCTGGCAATTTTGTCTACTTCCCATAGCCAGGAGGATAACTATGTTTTTCTTTGGTTCATCTTCTTATTTAGCTTCTTTAGGATCACAAATTATAGACTCAGTGACCTTTATTTATGGCTAGAAACCAATTGTGAGTGAGTACATCCCATGTTCATCTTTTTGGGTCTGGGTTA